TTTTTTTTTTTTTGCTTTGACAGAGCCCACCATTGACTGTAGACTGGAACCCATGAAGTATACTTTATGGAAATACTGTCTTACCAGATTGTCAGCTTAATAGTTCTAGGTGCTAAAGTGCTGCTTGTTTTTGAATAAATTCTATAAGAGATCAAAGTGAAAAAATGCTAAAACTGTTGCCAATACAAATGACCAACGTATGTATAACCTATTTGTTATAATTGATTAACCGTTTAGTGACGCTCATTCAAGTAGGTGCAACAAGTAATTTCACATGAGAAAACGAAGACAACAGAAAAAAAAGCGATTTTTATTCGACTACTTATTCCTCTTGCTCCATTCTCCCGTCCTTATTTCTCGATTGCAGACACCTTTTTCCAAAAAATCGTTCCTTTTTAGAAAGAAAAGAAACTTCTGGGCGAATGCAGGCAACTAGTTATTATCGCTCCCTTGACAGTAACTGCCAAAGAGTGACTTCAGACAATAAAGTAAAACCAGTAGCAGTATGAATGGTAACTGGTCTTTTTCTTCAGGAATACCGGATTCCGTAAAAAGCGTGAATGAGGCCTCAGAAGTTGGTTATAGCTTCTATATGGCATGCGGAGCGTTAGCAGCTGCTATATTTGATATTATCGTAGGAGCTTCCTCCGTAGCTCTCGCAAAAAGATGTTTGTAACGGAGGACCCTAAAGAGCTTAGAAAAAAAGGAACCGTTGCATCCTCACAGACGGATCACTAAACTGGCCGTATAGCATAAGCTTCACTGCCAAAAAACACTTTTTTCTTTCCTCTAGTGTACGAAAAGCTTTTGGCTGCCTACTCTGCAATCATTTCCAGAAGCAAGCGAGATTCATGCTAGCGTAGCGCTTCAACGTGTCTTGTATCTTTCTCAAGTCGGATTTTATCAGTTTTCACGGACTAGACGAGTCTTCGGTTTAATGCTCTAAACTCATCCGCTAAAAACGGTTTGAAACTCATTCTTAAAAAAGAAACTCTAGAAATGACAGAATCCTGCAACCAGCTTTGTGACATAAAAATCGTTAGTTCAGCAATAAATTGCATTCTTGTGTACTTAACGACAGACAACGTATGCAAGTGAAAGATCATTACAGTTACAATCACATTGAATGACCTTATTTCAGTATGCATTAATACTGTCATTGTTCTTAGATCACAACTTATTTGTCGCCGCAGAGCAAACAGTACCGTCTGAGTAGCACTGTTATAGTTCTGTAGCTGGACCAACAAAGCGATTTGAAAACACTTTATGTAGAAAGGATAACCTTTCGCTCAGATATCCCAAATTTTGAAAATTAAAAAATTATAACAACAAAGATCCCTTCAAATCCTCATTCAAGAAACCGACACTACAATGCAGGTAATTAAAATCTACAAACAATTAATCATTTCATTGAAATGAAAAACACATTTGAAAACGACAAGTAACTGAGTTTACAGCGTATTCATCTCGAACAATGCTTAAAATTCCTCCTCCTTACACTCCCTTACTTGTAGTCTAAACCTACAGAATTATTCAACAAAATTATGACTATGAATGACCCAGTATAACCCAGTAAGAAACAGTAAACCAAAAAAAAAACTGTTTTTTACAAAACAAATTCTATAATAATGCTAATACTAATAAGATACGTAATAATAAGAACATAGATAAAAGAAAAAAGACCAGTAAAACCTCCCACTAATTCGTAAAAACTTAGTCATCGTCAAAAGGTCCCATTCCACAACACCTCCACTTTTAAAAACTATCACCTCTTAACTGTAAAATTCTGCTGGTAGTAAGGAGGTTTCGAATTTCAAAGTGAAGCAAAAAACAAAATCATGCAGAAAGATGTTGAACTATTTATTAATGTATAAACCTCCTAAAAGGTTTTTTTTCCTCCACAGACAGTGATACTACACTCTCTTCCTTATCTCGCTTATCAAGGTACCTGTGGATAAATCTGAAAATTTTTAAATATAAATTCCTTTCTGTTACCATTAAGCAACTTATTGCACTCAATGACGATAAAGTTCTCAGACTCACATTACAGCAGCCAGCCGTTCAAAAAAGCTGATACAAAGTGACTGTAATGAACAATTATTGTTTTACCCTGATTCACAAACTGAATTCCCTGACGTACTCCCAGTTGTATCTGTTTGACTTGGAGCGGTTGGCTGCCTCTGAACCTGCAGACAGCTTTGCTCAAGAGTGAATAAAAGTTTGAAAACTCAAAAAGTGCTAAAGAATTAAAATATTCTCTAACAAAGCTTTTCTTTAAAACAAAAGCAATTTTTTTATAAAGTTTTGTTCATTCATATTTTTATGACTGTATTTAGGCCGTACCCTATCGCCATAACTGTTACAGCCGTTCGTTAGTTTCGCACATGCTTCATTCTTCTTATCTGACGTTGGCTTCAAAAGCGAATGATTGGGGAGTAATGGTTGCCGGCTTTTAAAACCTGCTGAGTGCTACATTTTAGAAAATGAAAAAACGTTTCGAAAGTTAGTCAATTTTTTTACCTGGTGTATAGGATGACATATGAAAGTGAATCGAACATCAGTAAAATGAAAGTTCTAGACCTACTCTGACAGAACTGATTCTGTGACCTTTTCGCGCACAAAAAGTCCTCCCACAAAATAAACGTCACATCGCGAGCGATCATAGTTCCTGCATGTGAGTGCATGAAGCGTAATAATTGAACACCGTCAACACCCAGAACAGAACGCAGAAAATGACGTAAAGTTCGTTCACTTTCATCTAAACAAATTACACAGTACAGCAAATTACAAGACGATTATTCTGAAACTTCCTTTTTGCTAGTCGCAATACTCAATTTATCACGCATACTATAAGCAATATTGAAGTCAAGATGAAAGTTTAGCAATACAACAGCAGCCGCTCGTGCATCAGAAATCAACTCGAAAACGTAAAGGGATTACTTCCAAAAAATGATTTCAACTCGTCTTGATCAATTTCACTTCCACGATCAGGTAAAAGCTCATGTTCACGTCGAGAAATGTAATTATTTCGACGTCTAAAAATTTCAATGCCAATTTCAGGAATCAAATCAGTAATTTAAAATTAATCATTTATTACTTGCAGTGAAAAGTGAAAATTTATATTTGACGTAATCCTTAGACAAAATGTAAGAAAAATCTTTTAGCCCTACTAAAAGACACAGTACAGTCAAACTCAGACTTTATTGGTCCAGCGACAGAGGCAGTGACAGTAGAGTTTTCTGAAAGATTTCTCAAACAGCCATCTCGATCACCTACAAAAAAAAAATAATTTTTCACATAAAAAATAAAAATTGCCATTAACCTCATCCTACCAAATAATTCGTTCCGTGGAACCTACCTAAGCAATATAAAAAACTTCAATTTTAACTCAGTTTACAGCAAAATGTTCAAAAATAGACTCAAATTCGTAAACCAAGGTTCACAACTTCCCGTCCTAAACATTTGGTTGTAAAATCAGTGATAAGAAAATTTAAAAAATTATAATATGTAGTTAAAAAATTACTATGCGGAACTCTCCAACTATCCTGCAAAAAAGACATACTTAAAAGCATGAACAGAAAACATTATAAACATCGTGACAAAAAGCGCCGAAGGAAAACTATCATACTCACTATAGTAGAGAGCACCAAGAGATTCATCGTCCTCATCTGCTGGGAGAGATGCCTAAACAGTTTTAATGTACAAGCTGTGATAAAGTATCATGTTAAAGAACAAAAGAAAATCCAAACCATTAGATAAAAACGTGTCTGCCGTTCGCGTAAGCTCGGTACCAATACGTTTACAACCGTAAAAAGAGCATTTGAGATAGTGCAGATAGAAAGCAAAAACAACCATACTACGAGTATTAAGTATATCTAAAAAAGTCTAAGTGACAAATATTGTTAATAGTAGATTACTACTAGTACCAATTCGATAGAACTCTCAAAAACAGCAAAAGACAAAGCCAAAAGAAACTTTTTCGTTAAGCATGTTGATTGTAAGTGTACATTGAACATTCTTTTTCTCAACATTCCCTGTTGAAACCATTTCATAATCGCAATATACAACTCGAGGGAATTGTCCAGTCTCAGTCCAGTCAATACCGTATATCAGCTGCTCCAAAAACTAAACACAGGAAATTAGTGTCGAAGAACTCCAAAACACCGATAACGTATTAGTAAGTACCATAAAAAACCTAGTATTCTGAATCGGAAAACCTAATATTGAAAACGAGATTACCCTTCTTCCCCAGAAGAAACCTCCATCTCCCACGTAGCGACTAATTAACATCAACTGGATGATAATGTTAACTGAATTAAGTAACTTTGAGCCAATGTACAACCAAGTACTGCATAGCAGAATGTCCTTTAAGGGACAGTACAAAAGCCGACACCAACGATTGCTTGGGACGCTTAACGACTGTAAATAAATTATTATTAACTTACTATAGTAAAAAACAAACGTATCTCTGCCTAGCTTAATTGGCCTAACAGTATGTAAATAAGCAGCAAAAGATGTCGAGCTTAATCCAAATTTCCTTCCTTTTAAAAAATAATGTGATATACACTGCATAATCAACCTGTTCTATGTATTTCGCTAAATTGGTGGTAGCCTTCTGACGCTCTTCTCCAAAAAGCTGGCGAATACCAATTGCTTCTTCCACCACCATTTCTATATCTAGACCTAAAAGCAAAATCTTTAGATCCGAGCAATCTGTTGTTCGAGTGTATCCAAAGATGATAAAAAATTAAATATAACAAATTAAATCAAAACTAACTGCTTAGTTTTTGCAACGATCTCCAAAGAAAATGCGGAATATAAAAACAAAACGCCTGGACAAGAAGTAGAAACGGAGTCCACTAAAATTTTTCATTTTCATCAACTGCAAGTTTAATCATCAAAAAATCGATGAAAACAAGAGTACGCATGACAACGAAAATTTTGGAACCTGGTAGTAATTTTCGTAATATTCATCACTTTTTGTATAAAATTCAGCCAAACCGCTACTCATGAACTCCGGTGGCGTCAACTTGTAACGTTCCATAACGAAGCAATAATCATGAACATAACTTGTCCATGACGCTGGAATTTACAGAAAACAGTAGAGACGTAGACAACTGGAATGAAAACTTCTTACAACAACACCCGGTCGGTCCCTTCTGGTACGCAAGTTTAGAATACAGTTACAGCTTTTATCGGGCAATGATTAGCAACACACTGTTAAGATATGCTGAAAAATTAACCATATCTCTCTCATAGCTATACCTGGAGCTTGTTGTTCCACTGCACATTTTATCGGTTCACCAAAATATTGCTTCGTCCCAACCAGAAGAGTGAAAAATATGAAAAGCAATACGGTGTAATAGTAATTGCATCTATCTAGAATTAATATTTCATCACTGAACTTACACGGCGATACGCAAAAGCAAAGTTAAATTGGTTCTTTCTTCTTCCGAAACAATAAATGATAAAAAAAAACTTTCAGTTATCTGAGGCGAACAAAAAAAAAGCAATAAATGTTTAGAAGTAGCATTTGTAAAACCTGTGAAATCGTCGATTGGGGAAACTTTCACGGCATTAACAAATTTATTAATTCGAGGAATGCCGAGAAACATCCTGGACGGTCAGGGCTACTTATAACTACCTGAAAACCAAAAAACAATAAAAAAGCAGCTTTAAATTATAAAGAAACACATCACAGTTTCCTCAAGTACTTTCTTTCAGGACCTCTAAAATACTAACCACGATAAACAACTAGGCTCTTGGTCAGACTGCAAAGACTGACAGCAAAACAGATCAAATCGAGTCACAGGAAGCGGCCCACTTCAATTTTCAGATGTCTGCTTCAAAATAGAATTTAGCAGCAATCATGGCGAGTGTAAAAGTTTAACAAGCAGTACACACGAAAATAAAAATAACAAATGAAAATAACTTCTTTTTTTCAGGCATGAAAAAACATCATTTATGCGATATATTATACACATCTACCACAATGTTCAGGTCCATAATACTGTTGTTGCTGATATCTTAGTCCTTTTAACATATTGTAACATGCCCATATTCAGATTATCGCAAATAACAAAGAAGTAAGAGGCTTCTGTAATAATAACAACGACGGCGAACAGCAGGCAGTTGACGACAACCTTCAGAATCTTTTAACTTCAAGTAGTTCATCCATCCAACCAATGAAAGTTGTTCTTCAAATGACCATTACAGGATAACATTGCTTCATGCGGTAGACTAACATTATGAACACGCAATAAGCTAAAAAACGATTCAGAGACAGCCACCATCAGCTGATATTCTCAGTCGCTAGTTGCCCTACATCCCATCAAAGGTTTCGGAAGTGAAAAGTCTAATTAGGTTGGGTATAAAGAAAATCCTCGACAGTAGCTAAACGAAAAAGGGACCACGATAGGACGTTTAACAGCGACGAACTGTTTGCCGTGGAGCAACTAACGTTTGTAGGCGCCCATTTAGGCAGCCTCAATTTCAACTTCCGGTTGCAGCCGGCGCTCTACTGTAAACAGAAGTGAAATCTGAATTGGTTCTCAAAAGAAACAAACTGCCTGAAGATAGTAGGAAGCTGTAGTTAAACCTAATCAGCAGGTAACATTTGCTCGTTCAACATTGGAAAGTGGGTCAGCTTAGTTCAGTGTCTCTACCAGTTTCACTTTAGAGTAACCACCATTCTTTTTCTTCCTGCAAACGCTGAAATGTAGTACTGCACAGTTTAGTCAACTATTAATCGCGTAGCTATTATGGTCAAAAAATAATCCATCGTTTTTGTTATCTGAAAACTGCTGTATAAATTACGTCAGTAGATTACTACTTCATTGCAGACTAGTTTCTATTGACGTACGGCCGTCATTCTGCATCTGTTATCATTGGCAAGAAGAAGCAGTAACTGTTCAGACGGTTATTTGTTCGTTGGAACTGTCACCGTATTTATAAATGTTTTATGCGTATATGTAGAATAAATATTTTGTTCCAATTTTTTTCCTCCCGATTACGACATCATGCCATCTTGAAAAAATGCTTTTTGAAAGACTGGTTAATTTCACGCAAGAGCGAGTAGCTCTAGAAAACACTTGAAATATTTTTCCCTACTTATTTATACACACCTGGATTGTGCTAAAATCTATCTCAATCATCGTGTATAAATCAAACACTAAATTTTTTCATATAGTGACAAATGTTTCTTTACGACATTATGCCATCTTGAAAAAATGCCATATTTGAAAAGCGAAAAATAATTTACCTAAGTAATTAGTGTTAATAAAGTTTCTATTGAACGGTCTAAAGCTAACGGAACACTTGAAGAACCTACACGCCCCGGTTGTTTACTCGCTTTTACATCCTCTAACAGCTTGAATCTTCTGTTGTTCTGAACTTGCCATGTGATTTTGAATGTTTTTTTAGCTCTGTTACTTTTCGCTGATTTACCCTTCAGGCAATCTTTTGGAGCGACGATATAGTTCCAGCAAAATTCTTAGATGTCTCTAAGGTGACCGTTCATGAGAAAAAAGATTTGGCCACTGGTAATTTTATTTAAAAATTTTTTGCACTAATTTCTCTACTTAATTTTGCCTTTAGTTGTCTTTTATAACGCACTTTTAAGACCGTGTTAATCGTTTAACGTTTCGGGAAACTGGATCTTAACTGCTTGGAACTCTTTCAAATGAATTTTCAAGCTGAAGAAGTAGTATGAAAACTTGCAAAATTCGATAGAAACTGTGCGGAGCGAAACAGGAAAATGGAAGCTTTTGTGCTGATAATTGTTACTTTTTCAGCCTTTGATACTCGTTTACCACACTGTTTACGCGGTCACTTCAGTTGTTTGAGACAACGATACGAGCTTAAGGTTTGTGTGTTGAAAAGTCTTGCAGGCTCTGGAAAATCGTTTGCTAATTACTCAGCACCAATGTCAAGGCTTATAAATGCTGGTTTTCACCCATTCAAACAACTCTTTCGGTATATTTTTCCTTGCATTAATCATTTTCGCTAGTTTATTAATGTCTCAAATGGTGCAGGTTAACTATTAGTTTTGTTTTTATCGGAGGTAGCACTTCTTGAGGAACAACCATGACCGTATTCAGTGTTACTTATTACAATTACCACTCGTAAATTTGGTATTACTAAAGAAAAGTACAGAAAAAGCAGTTGTCGTCATCACAATAAAAGTCAAAATTTACATGAAAAAAATTTTTTAAAGATATTTGTTAACCTGTTTACTCGCCAACTCATCGAGTTTTGATTTTTGAACTCTCTACGGTGTTTACGATTTTTGACCCGTTTGGTGCCTTTGGAGGAAGAAAAAAAAAGTGACACAAGTGTGTTTCTACTACTTTTATCGTACTGGTGTAACTACAAGCTTTTTTGCAGTGACATGAACGTTTAGATCAATTTCCAGAATTACATCGTGAATCTGGTATTTTCGTTTTTAAGCTTCAAGATGGTAATTTTGTTCTCCAACTTTCTTAGATAACGACAACTTAAGAATTCTTATTATTCGTTGCTACCATTTAGCTGTTTTTTGACAGAACTAATATATGAATTTAACCAGCCTTTTGCTCTTGTTTTTTCTTTGTTTGAACAAAAACTCTTAAGAACTATAGAACGTTTTTTTCGACATTTTTCGACATTTTTCCTCTGCACTAATTGCCTAGTATAAGCTGCATGAATTGTTTCTACCTTGATTTTTTTTTTTTCGTTTTTATCGAGCTTTTATTACAATTCTGTTAAATAATACTCTTTTTTGCTTAAATAACTTATCAGATATGAAATTTATTGCTTGGAAAATAAGATAAAGGAAAAGAATAAAAATTGATTCACGTTAATAATTAAAAAAAGAGGTATTGTGTTGCATTCTTTGTTGTTGTTGTTATGTTAAAATATCAGGTAAAAAGTGTTGAAAAATGAAAAAGATGAGTCTCTGATTACTAATAGTGTTAGCACTCCAGTTCCTTCTATTCATTTCTCACAGTTTTTTTGGCAAGAATAAGAAGTTGAAACGCATACATTTAATGGTGCTCTCCTCTCTACCTCACCCTTTCTCTAAAAAAAAGGCAAAGTAGATTTTTATTCTTAAAAAAATAATCTTCAAAAATTGCGCACAGCAGTTGCTTTCTTCTTCTTGGTCTTTTTTTTTTCTTTTTTTTTTGCTACTGCTGAGCTTTTTTCACATACTAGCTTGCATAACAATTAATAGTCGTGTATATTCAGTAATCAATGGGCTCTTAAAAGTTGTTGCTGTTGGTCCTTAACTTTGCCTCTGAGTAAATATCTAAGAGATGAGATGCTCCTGCTACCAATTTGCTACTATTGTAAGGTTGTCGTTTTGCCCTGACAGAAGAGCGCACTATTTATCCAGAATTAATGACCACCTGACGTCCAGGTTCAGTAATATCTTCAACATCTACATCTGCTCTCAATCTATTTTCAGGTCCTGCTTCAAAGTTTAATTCACTATTTCACTAACAGCTACGTAACCACTGACTACACATATGTCTAGTTTAATTCACTTAGTCATTGAGTCATCGACAACTTGGTGTCCAGACGCTAAATTACTGTTGCTGTTTTCAAATTTCTTTTTTGCTGCAGTGCAAAGTAGCACTGTTTTTGGAGGGTTTACAAAAAAGCAAATTTATCGACGTTAAAAAAATTTTTATTTCTCACTTCAAGATAAGAAATCTTTTGGAATATCTTACGAGCAATAAAGCAAACAATTTTTTCATCCCTTTCTTTCTTATTGGTCCATTTGTGAGTTGGTAATTTAAGTTCCCATCGAAAGCGGTAACATTAGAACCGTACGTAACTTTATGCTGAAATTTTCGTCTGACTAGCTTAATGGTGCTTATTGATGCAGTGGTCTGATGATTAATGTCGCCAGTACTTTCTGATTAAAAAATCAATTTTTTGTTTCTTTATTGGAAAATATTACTTTTTGAAAATAAAAAGGAAAATATAAATAGATAAACAGCACAAAATGAACTGCTTTGTAAATTATTGATCTGTGAGCTTTTTTTGAAGGACGAAAGGAAGTAGAGATGGGAAAATTAAAGAAAAAACAGCGAAGAAGTAATAAGCTTGTGATGTAATTTTAGAATAAATTGCTGATGAAGCTGCAACCGTTGCTTGCGGGTTCTCGTTTTTTTGCTCTGTTACCAAAAACTTATTTATAGGGGGTGAAGAAGATACTTGGATTTTTGCAAGTAGATGAGACAATTAGCATTAGATGGAAAACTTATACCTGAAGTAAATAGTGAGTGTTGTACGTCATCATGAGTAAAAAAATGTTGACTTAATTTACGTAAGTGATTTGAAGCAGAGAAAATAATAGTCGCTTCGGCGGTGTCAACAAAGTGCTGTTACTGGGATCCCTATCTACAATTTTCGACATCCCTTCAATTCATCACTTATCGATTTTTAAGTCTTCTTTTTTTTCCAGACAGATACAACGAGCTTTGGTGGCATCTATTTCTGTCGTAACAAGTTAAAGCAGAGTCAGATTTTATCTAAGCAGAGGATGCTGTTTCAAGTTAAAATGCAAGAGTAGATGCCGCTGCAGCGACTTGTAATCCTGGCTGTCGTTTAAGTCTTTAATTTAGAATAT